CGTGTAGGGTGTGTCATGGTGTGCACGTGTGCCTGTGTCAGTGTAGACATATGAGCACATGTGACTGCATGTGTCAAAGGATAAGTGGCAATGCACACAAGTGTATGTGAGCGCCCATGTCCACACAGGAGTGTGTCTGAATCTTGGCGGGCATAGGAAGGCATGTACGTGTCCCTGTCTGTGCACAAAGGCATCTACAGGGACAGGTATGTGTGTTTACAGGGATGTGTGTGTGCATGTGTCTGCGTGCATGAAGGCATGTGTGGAGAGGGACAGCTGTATGCATGGGCACAGAGGTGTGTGCATGTGTATACAGGTGTGTATGTGTGTGTGTGCGCACCATGCTGTGTGCATGCACTGGGGATATGCAGGTGTGTGTGTGCGAGTATGCACTGGGGTGTGCATGTGTGCCTCAGGATGTGTGTGTTCATAAGGGTGTGTTCCAGGATTTTTCTATATGTGTTGGTGATGTATGCACCAAGGCTTGTGTATGTGTGTGTGCATGGGGGCGTGTGCACGTGTGTGTACAGAGGCACATGTATATGTGCTGGTACCCCAGGGCATGTGTCCATAGGAACATGCGTATTTGTGTATGCACCAGGGTGTGCATCTACAGAGATACGCATGCATGTGCATGTGCACTGGGGGGTGTGTCTACACGGACATGTGTGTATGTACGTGTGCACCGGGGTGTGTGTCTACAGGGACACACGTGGTATGTACATGTGCACCTGGACACGTGTCTACAGGGACACCTGTGCAGGTGCGTGTGCACCAGGGTGTGTGCGCACGTTGCCCCCCCTCCCCCCGGCACTGGCGGCGGCGCGGAGAAGGACCCACCTGTGCTGGGCTCACACTCCTCCAGGTCCTCGTCGTCGCTCGGGCACTCGGCCGACGCCACCAGCAAGTCGTCCGTGTTCTGGTGGGGGGAAAGGAGGGTGAGGTCAGCAGGGGAGCGCCCAGGTGTTCAGGCACCCTGCCCCACTGCCCCAACCCCTGCTCTAGCCGGTGCCCCTGGTCAGGCCTGGATCGGGCCCCCCGGAGGGAGCTGTGCTGTGTGGGGGGGCAGCCAGCAGGGGGCGCTCTGCCTCGAGGGGCCCTGATACCCACTCCAGGAAGCTAAGCAGGGTCTGGGAAGGTTGGCATACCTATGGGAGACCATGTGTGCTGATGTGCCAAGCCCTAGGGGGCACCGTGTTGCAGGGGGCAGCCAGCAGGGGGCGCTGGGCTTGGCTGCGGTGCCAGGGCCTGGTGCCCTTGGAGCGGGTCTGTGGCGCTGCAGGGAGCGGGCGTGGAGCCAGCAGGCGCTGGGACTGCCGAGGAGCAGCAGTGGAGGGGGAGCATGGCAGGGGCCAGCGGCTGGTGGTGAACACGGGCTGGGAGGGCAGCATCTGCTAGAGGGCAGGAGGCCTGTCCCCAGGCCTCGGGGCTCCCTCCTGTCACCCCCAGCTCCGACCCCCCTCCCAGAGCCGGGGGGAACCCGGGCATCCGGCTCCCAAGTGTCTGGGGTCCCAGGCCCCCTGCTCTAGCTTGCAGCCCCCGCAGCGGGGAGGGACTCCAGGTGTGTGGGGTCCCAGCCCCCCCCTCTAACTCGCAGCCCGGGCAGTGGGGAGTGAACCCAGGTGTCCGGGGTCCCAGCCCCCTGCTCTCGCCCCCCACCCCCGCCCCCTCCCCCGCGCTGCCTTCAGCTCTGAGTCATCCTCACCCCAAAACCCCGGCCTCCCCCTCCCCCCCATGGCAGCCGGGACGACTTTGTCAGCGATTTTCCCTCTAATGCAGGAGGAGGAGGAGGAGGAGGGGGCCGCAAAGGCTCTGTCACTGCAGCTGGGGTGTGAGACCCTGCAGCCCCCACAGATCTGCCCCCGGGGTCCCCTGTGCCTCCCAGTGGGGTGTCATCCCCTGCCCTGTCCATCCCCTCTTCAGCCTCCCAGCCCCATGGCTGCCCCTGACATCTCCCCACCCCGCAGCACCCAGCCCCCGGGGCTCCCCGGGGTCACAGGTCCCACTTATGCTACAGAGCTGGGACACGCGGCCTAGAGCAGGAGGTTGGGGGGGGAGGATACAGACCCCCCATGTTACAGAGCTGGGACACTTGGCCTAGGGCAAGGGGGCGGGGAGGATACAGACCACCCTTATGCTACCAAGTTTGGACACGTGGCCTAGGGCAGGAGGTGGGGGGGAGGATACTGACCCTCCCCCATGATATGGAGCTGGGACATGTGGCCTAAGACAGGGGGTTAGTGTGGGGGAGGATACGGACCCCCCATAATGCAGAGATGGGACACGTGGCCTAGGGAAGGGGTCGGGGGGAGGATACAGACTGGACATGCTATGGGTCTGGGACACGCGGCCTAGGGCAGGGGGTTGGGGGTGAAGATACAGGCCCCCACCCCGGCCCCGCTGACCTGGGCAATGCTGTCACGCATGGTGGGGGAGCGCCCACGCCGCGTGGTAGTGGTGGCCATGGTGGTGGTGGTCTCCATGATGGTGGTGGACATGTCGGCCAGCAGCGTGGTGGCCGTGGTCTCAGTGGTGAGCACGGAGGGCACCTCGCCCACCAGGCGCAGGTTGCCTTCAGCCCGCACGTTGGGGTCGCTCTCGGCCGCCAGCGCCAGCACCTTCAGCCCGTTGTAGTACAGCCCCGAGATCTGGCCCTGGAAGGGGCGGTCCTGGTCGCGGCCCCCGATCTTGATGGCGGCCTGGCTGTTAAAGATGGTCAGCTGCCGACCTGCCGGGGGACACAGAGAGGCAGGACCAGGGTGAGCGAGCGCCTGGCGGCTGCTGCTGCACAGGGGGGAGCTGTAGCAGCCGGGGGCCCGTGGCCATGTCCCCTCCTCCGGGCCCTGCACCCTGGATACGGGGGGGCTGCCGCTGCTCGGATCCCCTCACCCAGCACGTGGTGGAGATCAGCAGGCCTCTTGCCGGCACCCAGCATCCATCCATCTCTCTACCCCCGCTGCCTGCCATCCCTCCATCCTCCCCACTCCTTCCTTCCTTTCATTCACCCACCCATTCCCATTTCCACCCACCCACCAGCCCCACTTCCCTCCCCATCCATCCATTCTCCTCACTCCTTCCTTCCTGCCTTCCTTCCTTCCATTCGCCCACCCATCTCCATTGCCCCCCATCCATGCCCTGCAACCTCCACCCCGTCCTACTCCAGCCCCGGCCGAGCCCTGCAGGGGAAGACGAGGGAACAGGAGGGTGAGAGAGCGGGAGGAGGTGCTGCTGTGGGGGGCTCAGACACCTGGGGACCGGGCCAGGGGCCATCACCACCCAGCCCCACGTGCAACGTGCCAGCCCTGGTGTGAAGCGAACCCCCACCCTCCCATGCTCTCTTCCCCTCCTCCTCTTCCTCACTCCCTCCTTCCCACAAGGTTTTAAAAAAGCCAAAGGGAAGTGTCAGAGGGGGATTGGGGGGGGGGGGGGGCAATGCAGGGACCTCCTAGTGCAAACAGCACTGCATCCTTGTGTGAGCCCCTCGCACAAGGCCAGTGCAGACGCTGTAACCCTCTGGGTGGGGGCGACAGCAGGTTTAGGCACCTTTAAGCCACCTGGCCCTGCACGGGGCCCTGCCAGGTTTTGGGGGTGTGGAGGGGAGGGAGGGGGCATTAGAGTTTTAATTAGTTTCCCTCTTGTTAGCAGGTTATTATTAGAATTTTTGTTGTTGCTTATTTAGAGGCATTGTTAGATGGTTTAGTTCCTGCTGGGGGTTTAGTGCTTTTTTCAGCGTGCAAGAACCCGTGTGTGCTGGGAGACACCCGCCTCCCCCCTCGCATGTGCTTGTGGCAGGCATGGGGGCCGGCCCAGGCCTTGCTCACTGTGCTCACACACTCACTGGATGCTTTGGGCCTCTGAGCACAGGGATGTGTGCGAGGAAGAAGGGGTAAGGAGTGTCACATGCTTGTGAACAAGGTCACGTTGGTCACTGACCCATGCAGGCAAAGGGGCGTGATGGGGGCACATGCCTCTTGTGAACAAGGCAGGCCTGGTGAACTGGAGTCATTGAGCGTGACCCTGGAGCATGTGGGGCACCAGGTCGTGTCCGTTGTGCGTGTTGGGGCATCCCCAAACCTGGCCCCAGTGAACACCAAAGCATCATGCGTGACCCTGGTGAATGCCAAGGTGCCACCAGGCAGGACCCTTGTGAGCACCGAAGTGTCATGAGTGAACCTGGTGAGTACTGAGGCATCAACCCATGGGTCACGGGGGCCCTGATGCGGGACCCTTGTGAGCACAGGAGCATGAAGCGGGACTCTCGTGATGCTTGGGCAGACAGGACTTGTGACGAAGGAGGGCGAGCCTGGCACGTGTCATGAAACTGGTGAGACTGACAGGAGCACAGTTGTGCCAAGCTGTGGCCCTCGTGAGCACAGCAGCATCACCGACCAGGGCCCTCGTGAACAGGGGAAGCGTCAGCGAATATGACCCTTGTGACCAGCAATGTGTCACTGCACACGACCCTCGTGAACAGCAAAGTGTCGTGAAATAAGGCCCTCGTGACTACTGGGGTGTCCACAAACGTGTCCCTTCAGCAACTTGTCACGGAGTCCTAGAAGATGACGGGACCTCCGGAGGTCACATCTAGTCCAACCCCCGCTCCGAGCAGCCCCAGCCCCAACTCCATCATCCCAGCCAAGGCTTTGTCTACTCAGGTCTTCAAAACCTCCCAGGATGGAGACTCCACCACCTCTCTGGGGAACTTGTTCCAGTGTTTTACTGCCCTCCTCCAGAGAAAATTCTTCCTAAAATCAAAACTAAACCTCCCTTGCTGCAACTTGAGCCCATTTCTCCTTGTTCTGCCATCTGCCACCGCTGAGAACAGCCCAGCTCCAGCCTCTCTGGATCCACCCTGCAGGGAGCTGAAGGCTGCTATCAAATCCCACCTCCGTCTTCTCTTCTCCAGACTGAATCAGCCCAGGTCCCTCAGCCACTACAGTCCTGTCCCCCAGCCCCACAACCATTTTCGTTGCCCTCCGCTGGCCTCTCTCCAACGTGTCCACAGCCTTTCTGTCGTGGGGGGCCCACAGCTGGACACCGGACTCCAGATGTGGCCTCCCCCGTGCTAAATAGAGGGGAAGAATCACTGCCCTGGATCTGCTGGCACCGCTCCTAGCAATGCAGCCCAGGATGCCGGTAGCCTTCATGGCACCAAGGGCACACTGCTGGCTCCTGTCCAGCTTCTTGTCCCCTGTCTCCCCACGTCCTTTTCTGCAGAGCTGCTGCCCAGCCCGTCACCCCCAGCCTGCACCGGTGCATGGGAGTGTCCCGTCCTAAGTGCAGGACTTTGCACTTGTCCTTGTTGAACTTCCTGAGATTGCTGTTGGTCGGATCCTCCAATGTGTCGAGGCCTCTCTGAGCCCCAGCCCCCCTCATCACACAACCCTTGTGAGCAGGGAAGCATCACAAAACAGGACCCTTGTGAGCACCAGGTCATAAACAAATGTGACCCTTGTGAACAGCAACGTGTCGCTGCAAGTGACCTTCGTGGAACAGCTCCCGAGACAGGCCCCTCGTGAACCGGGAAGCGTCACAGAGCAGGCCCCTCGTGAATACGGGAGCATTAATAAATGTGATGAGCAACATGTCACTGCACGCGACCCTCGTGAGCAGTGACACCTCGCAAAACAGGCCCCTCATGAACAGGGAAGTGTCCCAGAGCAGGCCCTCTGTGAACACCAGAGCATTAATAAATGTGATGAGCAGTGTGTCACCACGTGTGACCCTCGTGAGCAGTGACACCTTGCAAGAAAAGGTCCCTTGTGAATAAGGAAGTGTCAGCAAATGGGACCCTCATGAGCTCCAGCGTGTCAATGAATATGACCCTTGTGAAAACCAGTGTGTTGCCACATGCAACCCTTGTGAACATGTCTCAAAACAGGATCCTCGTGAACAGGGAAGCATCACCAAATGGGACTCTTGTGAGCACCAGAATGACATTGAATGGGACCCTTGTGAATGCCCTCATGCTTGTGACACTGTGTCACATGGTGCACACAGCTGAGCAGGCCCAATGTGCTCTGCTCACCAGGAGACACGGGGCCTGGGGGTGGCAGGCTGACCCTGGGGGGTGGCTAGGCCCAGGGAGAGGGATAAATGGGGCGGGGGGATGGGTGGATGGATGGATGGATGAAAGGATGTGGAGATGGATGGATGGAGGTGGGGTTGGATGGGTGGATGTGAGGACATGTGGAAGGCTATGGTGACAGATGGATGGGTGTGAGCGTGTATAGAAGGCTATGGTGATGGATGGATGGATGGATGGGTGTGAGGACATAGGGAACGCTATGGTGAAGGAAGGATGGTTGGATGGCTGGATGTGAGGATAGATGGAAAGCTGGGGGAGGAGGGATGGATGCGGATGGGGATGGGCGAGTGGTTGTGAGGATGGGATTGAGGGGGTAGGGAAGGTTATGGTGAAAGAAGGAAGGTGGACGGATGGAGGATAGCTGGGGGATGGAGAAGTGTGGGCATGACAGGTGGACGAAGGGAGGAAAGGACTTGGAGCTGGGCGAACGGGCGAGTGGGGGACGCAGGGAAGGTGGGGGGAGGCATGGAAGGAGGGGGCTGGGGGCAGGGGCAGATGGAGGTGTCCAGAGAGGCAGAAAGGGAAACAGAGGGATGGATTTGGGGTGCAGGGAGGGATGGACAGGGAGGGATGCCCAAGGGGGCATCTGCAGGTGGGGAAACTGAGGCCCGTGGCCAGCAGCTGCTACATACCCCTCCCCCCCGCTGACCCAGAGGCAGCATCGGAGATGGAAGCCAGGCATCCTGGGGCCTGTGGGTCCCAGTCCCATAGCTGGGGGGGGTGGAGATAAGCAGGGTGGGACTGGGAATGTTTAACCCTTCCTGCTCCAGCACAGCCCCAACCCAGCCGGGAGGACCCCTCACTGCCTCGATGGTGGCTGCGATGGGGGACAGCACAGGGCTGGGATCGGGGCGATGGCAGCGAGGGGAGACCAGACCCAAGTACATGCCCCCCTCAGCCCCAGCCTGGCCAGGAGGCTGCCCCTGTGACCCCCCACGCCCCGCGAGACCCAGATGCCTGGGTTCTCCCCTCACTCTGGGCAGGGACTAGGATTCGGTGGGTTCGAGCGGGGGCAGCGGGAGCCCGGACACCCGGGTTCTCTCCCAGGCCCCAGCCAGGTGCTGGACGCCAGGACAGACCAGGCCACGGTGGGGGTGGGTGGGGGCCGATGTTTTCCAAGCGCCCCTTTCCCCACTGACTCCAGACAGGTTTTCGCGCCCAGCAGAACGCAGCACTTGCCACCCCCACCCCCTGGCATGCCAAGGGTTACCTCTCCTTCGTTACCAGGTCCGTCCATAATTGGTGAGCCGATCACCCTGAGTTGGATTATTTGGGGGGAGAAGTTTGGGGGGAGGTTTAAAAATCCATTAGCAGGTTAGCATCCCTTTAACCGGAGTTTTGGGGGGTGGTTTTGGGTTGGTTGTTGGCAGTTTAATGATTCTGTTAGTAATGCTTCGTTAGCGGGTTCAGGCTTTGCCCGGCGAGACGGGCTGTTGCTTAGCAAGTTAGGCCAGTGGTTAGCTGGTTAGATCGGCCGTTAGCAGATGAGGCCGGTGGTTAGCTGGTTAGATTGTTAGACCGGCCGTTAGCAGATGAGGCCGGTGGTTAGCTGGTTAGATCGGCCGTTAGCAGATGAGGCCGGTGGTTAGCTGGTTAGATTGGCCATTAGCAGGTTACCGCGGCATGGTTAGAGCCTTGTTAGCACCTGGTTACACGCAGTTAGGAGGAGGGTTTGGGGGCAGGTTTTTTGGGGGGGGTTGGCTTTTTTTGGTGGTTTTGGTGGGGTTTTTTTGTTTTTTCCTTTTTCCCCAACTGAGTTTGAGCCTTAAAGGTACAGAGCTCCACCTGGCGGGGTGGGAAAGGCGGGCAGAAAGCTCTGCCCAGAGGGTGGGGGGAGCAACGGGGCAATTACAAAGCTGGTGAGGGGGCAGGATGAAGAGGAGCTGGGCTGGACTTGGATAAGTGTGCGGGGTGCCTGGGCAGGAGGGATGGCCCGGATACCTGGTCTCTATGCTCATCTCTGGGAGGGTGAGAGCAGGGGGCCGGAAGCCCAGATGCCTGGGGTCTCTCCAGCTCTGGGAGGGGAGTTGGGGCTGGGAGCCAGGACACTTGGGGTCTCTTCAGCTTCGGGAGTGGGGGCTGGAGGGGGGGAGCTGGCAGCTGGACGCCTGGGTTCTCTGCCAGCTTTCCAGCAGACTCCAAGCCCGTTCTGCTCTTGCTCTTGCCCGGTGTCTGCCTCTCTGGACAGGACCCTGCTCCTTCTCAAAGTCCCTAAGCGCTGGTGTCCTATTGCCCAGGCCTGGGCAGGCGGTATCTCCCGACAGTGCCCTACCGGGGGGGAATGACACCCGTGCCATGGGGGAGCCCCGACCTT